TTACTGGTAAAGTGTAACATGTATCCATGACTACTGGTAAAGTGTAACATGTATCCATGACTACTGGTAAAGTGTAACATGTATCCATGACTACTGGTAAAGTGTAACATGTATCCATGACTACTGGTAAAGTGTAACATGTATCCATGACTACTGGTAAAGTGTAACATGTATCCATGACTACTGGTAAGTGTAACATGTATCCATGACTACTGGTAAAGTGTAACATGGTATCCATGTACTACTGGTCCATTAAGGTGTAACATGTATCCATAACTACTGGTAAAGTGTAACATGTAATGACTGTATCCATGACTACTGGTAAAGTGTAACATGTATCCATTATTACTGGTAAAGTGTAACATGTATCCATAACTACTGGTAAAGTGTAACATGTATCCATGACTACTGGTAAAGTGTAACATTTATCCATGACTACTGGTAAAGTGTAACATGTATCCATAACTACTGGTAAAGTGTAACATGTATCCATGACTACTGGTAAAGTGTAACATGTAACCATGACTACTGGTAAAGTATGACAAGTATTCATGACTACTGGTAAAGTGTAACATGCATCCATTATTATTGGATTTGTATGAAATGTATCCATGACAACTGGTAGAATATGACCTGTATGAATGATAACTGGTAAATTGTCACATGACCAACTTTTCTTTTCCAGTCTAGTCACAGATTAATAAATATATATTTACTTCTGTTGTGACCAACCAAAGAAAAATTGTTGACAAAAAATCTTTAAAACATGAATAAAAACAGCAGTCTGTACAATATCTTTGGAGTCTACTAAATCGGTTAATTTACAGTAGATCTTAGTGTTATTGTATTGAGTGTTATGAGCTGAGTCTATTAGATGGAACCAAACTGCCCCCTTACTCACATGCTTGTATACATTGTCGAGAAGAGAGAGTGTGGCATCAACAACTCCGTGCTTGGATCTGTATGCAGACTCAGACTTCGCACTTGTGGCTAAGATCAAAGACTGATAATGTTTTGTGTGTTCTGATTTTCCAGCTGCAAGTCTTGCTGAGACTGTCCAAATAATGACATATGATGGGGCACATGATCGCTTATATAAAGTACAACTGACACTGGTCGGTTGCTGATGTAGGGCTGGGATGTGGAAAACTGGGTTGAACCTCACACTTAGGAATAACACTCCAAGGATGGTATTGAGGAAAGTAATAGGCCATTCAGTCCAGGAAAACATCCATGGTAGGGTGAAACAACAATGGCTTGCAGTGGTACGTAATGGTACAGATATGATACACATGGACTGGAGTGGTACATAGTGGTACAGAGATTATACATATGGACTGAAGTGGTACATAATGGTACAGAGATGATACAAAATGAACTGCAGTGGTACATAGTGGTACAGAGATGATACAAAATGAACTGCAGTGGTACATACTGGTACAGAGATGATACAAAATGGACTGCAGTGGTACATACTGGTACAGAGATGATACACAATTGACTTTCATGGTATATGCTGGTACAGAGATGATACATATGGACTGCAGTGGTACATACTGGTACAGAGATGATACATATGGACTGCAGTGGTATATACTGGTACAGAGATGATACTGTGCTGATACAGACAATTCCAACTGTTCATATGTCCACCTAAGTCATGTGACCAGTAGTATAACCCAGATTATTGGGAGATAAACATAGCCTCATGAATCTCATTTATGTTTTCTGCAGATTTGATGTTACTAAACTCAATTAGAACTTGTTTTAGCTTAATTGTGGTATCATCTTTCAAAAAAACATATGATATGCATCTGACTCAGGGAATTGATCCCTGTTTATTTAATGGGTTCTTTATTTTATTTATATTGTTTAGTCAATTCACTGAATCTAAGAGCTTTAGTTGAGAATCCTCCACATAACCAACACTATAATAGGCATGCAGGGTTGAGACATTGTTTGGGGCATCAAGACCCGATGGATTTTTTCGTCTATTTCCATCTAGTTTATCTCAGCACATGTAATGGAACTCCTGTTACGCCACCACTGGGGCATGCCTGATTAACTCCAGGGGGGAGGGGAGAGAGTCTGCATCAGATGAGGATGGAACATAAACCATGCTCTCCTCAATAATCTATGTCAAAATTCTCCCAGATACCAATTAGGGTTAGCAGTAGAAAGTATATCTCACAGTCCCTAAACTGCATTATATTCTCTTCCACACTGCCCTTTCTACAATGCTAAAGCCCTAAATGAAACAAGTCTAGATTCCCTTCTCACTGGGGCTCTTTTTTAATTTAAAAGGAATTATTTGTTTCCGTCCAAATTACATATCTTCAGACACTAAGGAGTAGACACAGGCAACCATAAACAATACTTGATTATGGTGGAAGTGCAAAGAGTACATTTCAAATTATAACATGATGAGATCATTTGTTCAAGGTTATCAAAGTTTGAGGGTGTGTTGAGATGGAATTGGGCATTTCAACGGAGCAGTGTATTGGTAGTTTCCTACACTGTTACTCTCTAACCTCGTCTGTGATGTATTAGGTGGAATTCACTAGCAGCAGGTGCCCTCTCTGTAGTTGTGGGAGTGAGGTGGTTCCTGTGCTATGTGGCAATACTCCAGCAATATCACTATGATGGACACAAGAGAAGCTTCACACACTGCACCCATGTTGTGAGTCGAAACCTAGAGTGTCAGGCTGAACCTTTACCACTTGGCTACCGATCCTAAGTGTCAATCTAGAGGGAATTGCAGTCTTCTCCCCAAATGTTGTTATTTTACACCAGATAAGCTGTTAACCTGTTGGAACAGACCAATGGTGTCTTGCCATGAAGGTTAACACTTTGTAATGTTCAGCACCTGAGGCCCAGTTCCACAAAGTGTTCTCGACACTACCACAACTTACCGGTAAGCTGAGTTGAATGTACGGGACAGAGCTCCAGATAAGATTTAGCTCATGTGGGTACTGTACCCACTGTATTTTTTTGGAGTGGGTATTATGAATGCTGAGTGGGTATTTCATTTTCTGTTACCCACTGCTTTCAAATATGTGCTTATTTCAGTCATTTTACTCACCTAAGTATATGCCATTGAGTAAGTTTACTAAGCAGGTATGTTCTGCCTTATGTCATACCTAATCAAAACCAACTTAAATATAATGGAAATGATTTCATAAAAAATCACTCATCCTATACTGACAGTACAACACTTGTCCTATACTAACCGTACAACTTGATAGCAATCGATGTCTTTTTCATTACGCAAGCGATTTTTATAAATATATTCCGTACGCATTTGTTTTAAACTTTCTGCGTATCTAACATTTTAAATGCGTAATTGGTACGCAACAATTATTTTTCAATGCGTAATTCTATGCATATTTTACCCAGATACGCAGCTTATCTGGGCCTCTGACGGGAGTTATGATCAACTTAGAGCTGATACAAAGGAGACCCAGATCTCCAAAGTGTTTTCAACATGACAACTTTCATGCCCAGTAACCCCAACACCCTAAGGCTTGCAATGGTTTAACTCTAAGAATGCATCAAGGAACATATCATCGATTGCCCTCACAAGCTGGACATAAGAACCTTGTGCTAGTTCAGCATCATAAACTACACCGTGGCCGTAGGTATCCCACCATCACCCTGGCCACAACCTACTCCCACATGCCGGTATGAGTTGTATCATGTACCTGAGGCTTACATGAAACAATATTTTAGATATATAGGAATGATCAATTTCATTCAGATTTTCCAAAATATCTACAAAAATTAAAAAGCATTTTATGGCATTGATACAACCATTTCTTACAGATGGACCAATGGCAGGTGTGTGGATGAGGTGTGTTGATAATGAAAAGCTGATGTATCGCAGTATTGGGAGACAGAGCTCCAGATAAGATATAGCTCATGTGGGTACTGTACCCATTGTATTTTTTGGGAGTGGGTATTATGAATGCTGAGTGTGTATTTCATTTTCCGTTACCCACTGCTTTCAAATATGTGCATATTTCAGTCATTTCACTCACCTGAGTATTATGTCATTGAGTAAGTTTACTAAGCAGGTATGTTCTGCCTTATGTCATACCTAATCAAAACCAACTTAAATATAATGGATATAATGTCATAAAAAATCACTCATCCTATAATGACAGTACAACACTTGTCCTATACTAACAGTACAACTTGATAGCAATCGATGTCTTTTTCATTACACAAGCGATTTTCATAAATATATTCCATACGCATTTGTTTTAAACTTTTTGCGTATCTAACATTTTCAATGCGTAATTGGTATGCAACAATTATTTTTCAATGCGTAATTGGAAATTTTCTATGCGTATTTTACCCTGATACGCGGGCTTCTGGACAGGCACTTCGGAAGACTTCCCACTACACAGATGGTACATAATAATACTTATATGGTACATCACAATACTGATATCATATATAACAATACTGATGGGATATGAAACAATACTGGTATGATATATAACAATACTCATTTGATATAAAACAATACTGAGAGGATGTATATATATATATGAAAGCTGGTAAGGAATACAGGTTCTCAGTGATGGCACATTGGTAATGTATGGTACTTTTGGCAAAGGAAGGGACATTTCGAAAGAAATAGCAGGAACTCTGAATGTTAATGGGGCAGAATGAATTGATAGATACATTTAAATCACACTGAAACAACAGGTAACAGTTTCTTAACTTCTCATTCCTAAAATAGAGTAGATTAAGAGTGTCAACCGATGAAGCCGAGAAAGTTGAAATGTAACAGATACAATAGCCTGGTGTTGTCAGTGACATTAGGGACTGATTTAGATCTATACTACTCTGAAGGTTAGAATTCTTTCATATTGACTGACTGACTGACTGAGTTTGGTTTTACGCCGCTTTCAACAATATTCCAGCAACATCACGGCGGGGGACACCAGAAATGGGCTTCACACATTGTACCCATGTGGGGATTCGAACCGGGTCTTCGGCGTGACGAGCCAATGCTTTAACCACTAGGCTACCCCACGCCCTTTCATATTGATATGCAGTCAGCCAATCATAGTTGTATGAAAGAATCAGTCTGTTTACACTTCTTTTCAGTGGCATAGAATCTATGAGAATCAATTACTGGTCGTAATCAAACAAAGTAAAATATAAAATAAAGATATATAAAGTTATATAGCATGCATGATAAACAAAATTTAGACAAACATACATTTTCACATCTGATGACATCTGCAATGAATCAATGTGATATAATTTCTTATGTTCCATTTTCTGAAACCAAAAGCGATGTCTGTAAATTCCTTCACAGACTTGATAATACTGATAAGATGATTAAAACACCAATAAACCTGATAAAGAGAATCACCTCTTGTATCCTGATGTGATTTGGCAGTAATGTTAGCATGTACATGAACACTGTTAATCAATACATGTTCAGAATACCTGGATTCTGTGATTTTCTCTGTCACTGACAATAACGTTTCCGTTACACTGTATTGCAATTCCCTCCAGCCCTTTGAACTGACCGTTCTCGTTTCCCCAGCTTCCGAACATGGTGTAGAACCTTCCATCAGCTCGAAATATCTGAATTCGATTATTCCCACTGTCAGCTACCACAACGAATCCTTGGTTGTCGATAGCTATACCACGGGGGAATTTCAGCTGGCCTCTCTGAGTTCCATTCGACCCGAAAACGAAGAGGAAGTCACCGTAAATGTTGAAAACCTGGATTCTGTGATTGCTGCTGTCACTGACGTAGACCTTATTATCATTGCTCACAGCCACATAATGTGGGTTCTCCAGCTGACCAGGCGCCTGACCGAACCGGCCAAACTTTCTCACAAAGGTACCATTGGACTGAAAGACTTGTATGCGATGGTTTTCCTTGTCGCAGACATAGATGAATCCCATATTGTCGCAGGCAATCCCCCACGGGTAGTTCAACTGACCATCCCCTGTGCCCTCTGTACCAAAAACATTTTGACACTGACCACGTCGGTCGAAGATCTGAATACGATGATTGTAGCGGTCGGAGACAATCACCTGGTTCAGACCATTAACAGCAATTCCTGCAAGACAGTCAAACTCTCCCTCGTTCTGACCATACGAACCGAAAGTCTTAAGGAACCTTCCATCTGCTGCAAAGACTTGGACTCTGTGATTCGAGCTGTCTGCAATGTAGATATTGTCGTCTAAGCGCGACACAGCCACACCACGTGGCCAGGTAAACTTTCCTGTTTCATTTCCACGTTCACCAAACCTGAGAACAGCATGGCCCTTCTGGTTGTACTTGTTTCTGGGGGAAGACACATACATGCTTGGACTTGCGTTGGCCCGACTGAAAGAATAGTTCCCACTGGATTCACCGTTTGACTGATCATCTGATTGGCTCATGGCTACATCAAACCGTACAGCTGGTCGAACAGAACCTCGATTCCAGGCCCCATCTGGGGCTTGGTTTGTAGCATTGCGAGCTGGGGAGTCACGGACATAAGTTTGTTCTCGAACAAATCTGGGAGGCGAATCAGATTCTACTGAATTCCCATCAAGAGATTCTTCATCAGGAGTGGGTAGAGCACCGATGCTTCTGTGCCTCGCTCTGTTCCTCTCCATAATGGACAGACCATCACCTCCAGAGAGAAGTCCAGCAATACGTGTATCTGAGTGGTGCTCCCTCCGAGGTCTCCGTCGAACTTCGACAAGCGGGGATGAGGGGAGGGACCGATTTCCCAACATTCTCCTTTCACCATCATCATCTGCATTGTGTTCCTCAAATGAAACTCTGGACAGTCTAGAATCTCTGGCAACAGCTCCTCGCCTTTCAAGATTAGGAGACACAGAGGGTGATCTTGTTTCAGCAACCCTTAATGAATAGTCCATGGACCCTGGAATCTGCCATGTTGCTCTACCTTCTCTTCTCTCCACACCTTCAGCACTCTCTGCCCTTGCTCCACCAGATGGCTGTGTGGTCTTGCGATCTCTGAGAAGCTGCTGGAGCACTCCGTGATAATCCACTCGTAACAATTACTTCACCAAAATTGTCAATAGTGTTGGACAGGTACTGTCCTTCCATCTCAATCTGGAGATGACGCAGAACTGGAGCTCTCACCCTTCCTGAGTCAATACTTCGAAGTGACTCGAGATGTTCCAGACACTGCTGTTTCACCTCCATAATGTGAGCCTCAGGGGTGCTGGATCTGTTCATGCTTGCTTCAGAAGAGTCACAAAAACTTGCAATACTTGCAATTTCAACTTCAACATTTTCCTGATGCGTTCGAAGAGATCGTAATTCCCCAAGAATAAAGCTATCGATTTCACCTAACAACTCCCTATGCCTATTTCTCAACTCTCGTATATGCTTCTCAATAGCTTCAGTCAGTTCCTCCTTGGCTGTCTCGCATCGTTCCTGAAGCTGAGACCCCTGGCTGCTGATGCCACTCAAGGAATCGGATAAGTTCGGCAGGCTGCGTCGGATCTGACCTATGAGGCGAGTCACATCATTCTTATAGCGATCAAAATGTCCTCTCTTGCAGCTGTCACAAAGCAAGTCATTGCAATGAGCACACCGTGATATATTCCGCTCACGCAAACACTCAGAACATGTGGTAGCTCCACCTGTAATTGTGGACGTAGAAGTGGAAGTGGCTCCACTGGACGAGGCTCCAGTCCCTCCCACAGCTCCAGCACCCTGAGGTACAATAGCCGCCGTGACATTGGACCCGATGGCCTGGATCTCCTCGAACTGGATCCCTGTGGATCTTCTCTGCCCTGCCAACTCCAAGAAGCTGATGATGGTCAGGTTGTTGGGGAAGTTGGCTGTCCCTCCCCGGGGGACGATGTGGTCGGCTCGACACTCCGGGCATCGTATTGTCCGGAGACGGTGGTCAACCAGACCTTCAAGACATGGCTGGTGGCAGAATGTGTGTTGGCATGGCAACAGTTTTGGGGTCTTGTATCTGTCAAGGCATACTGAACACTGAAGGAGCTGCTCGATCTGGTCAGAGGAGTAGGTCAGTTCACCCTCATTCATGCTCAAGACACAGGCAGAGGTGATCTGAAACAACAGTATAAAATAATAATAGTGAAGACTGACTGACCATTTTTACACTGCTTTTAGCAAAATATCAGTGATTTACAACACACATATATGGGCAACACACAAAATTGGGGAATCAAACCTTAATAATATGGATTCTTATATTGCGCTAAACTCAAAGCGCTACAGAGCGATGACAAGGTTAGCAAACTGAATGACGACGACAGTGAGGACAGTACCGATGTTGTTACAGATAATGGTTTGGTTTGTTTGTTGCTAAAATGCTACACTCAGCAACATTATAGCTCTGTAAATATTCCAGTCTGCACTAGACATTAACCATGGACTGACATCATGAGCATCAATCTACGTACTTGGTGTTTCAGTCAGTCAGTCTGACAGCCAGATCATGTTAGTCGCCTGAAGAATTGTACACAGGAATATACCAACACACTGTCTCTGTCTAGTTCTAGTACTTCAGTCCCACTGGAGATTTGTACACAGGACAACACAAACTGTCTCTGTCTAGTGTCTGTTTCTATCAGTGCCTTAATCACACTGCAGAACTGTACAGATACATATGTAAACAAACTGTCTCTGTCTAGTGCTAGTTCCTATCTCTGGCTTAATCACACTGGAGAATTGTCCACATAAATACACAAACATACTGAGCCAAATCACATAGCAGTAACACTAACACCTCACAGCCCTGTCTCTATGCAAGAAAAAACTGTTTACCAACAGAGAATTTTCTGCGTATTGCCGACCAGCTAACTCTGTAACTGCGTAGCACTTCCAGCTTGTAACACAAAGTGGAAAAGCAGGACAGAGGTAATCACTAGCATAGTCATTCATAGTGAACGTGTAACCCCACACCAAGAGCTCTCTCCCAGTGCAGGGGATGTGTGTCAGGCTGATCTCTAGCACTACCAGCGGTAGTCACAGACAAGATGCTCCAGATGTACACATAGGAGGTGGACAAGGAACAGAAGTTCCTATGAGATTTCAATTGATAGTCCGGGTGGGTGGGTGAGTGTTTGTTCATGGGTGGGAGTGAGTGAGTGAGTGAGTGAGTGAGTGGTGGTGAGTGAGTAAGTAGGTTGGTTTCTGAGTGAGTGAGTGAGTGGTGAGGAGTGAGTGGGTGGGGTGGGTGAGGAGTGAGTGAGTGAGTGAGTGAGTGAGTGAGTGAGTGAGTGAGTGAGTGAGTGAGTGAGTGAGTGAGTGAGTGAGTGAGTGAGTGAGTGAGTGAGTGAGTGAGTGAGTGAGTGTTTTAGCCACTAGGCTACCCCATTACCAAAATTTATGATTTACATATTGAAGACTTAGAATGAAAACAATACAGTTGTCAGGTTTTGCAGTATAAAAATACTGGGTGGAATCAATGAGCAGAGATGTACTTGTCTGAACACAGACAGCATATATAACAAGTTCTCTTAGCCATGTACTGTCAAATAATGTCTTGATCACAGTTAAGTTAAAGAGGTCACAGAATTGACAATGTATTTACTAAATGTTCATCTGCCCTAAACATTCTTCAGATAAATCTAAAGCAGGAGTATTCTAAGGTGAAATCATGATGATGTGATATATAAACTTCAAGTCATTTTAAATTTATAACCCATGGCCTGATCCCGACTTGATTGCTGACAGGCCATTGTGATAGCTGCTCCATTGACAGTGGTTTTAAACATCACTCACACAGAGAATCTGTTAATTAGTGTAAACAACCTCACAACACTGACATGTCAGATGTTGAAGTGTTGATGACCTCAGTATAAATACATTTTCCTTTTTAATATTTCCAGTGTACTTGTTGAACTATCAGTAACGAGGATGATCAGCCAATTTACATGGCTAAATTGCTTGAATAAATTCCTCATCAATACTGATCCAACTTCTTCTGAAAACATTATGTAAAATAGTTTTTGAAAAATTGTTTTGAAAAATTGTTTCTATTTTTAACTCATATAATAATAAAAAACAAAGAAACAACAATTTTACTTGAAAAAATATCATACATTGGGTCTGAATTTAAATAAATGCATCTGTTGTTAACAGACAAATGAACTGACCCTTGATAAAAAAACAACTGAGGGCAAACTGATGAAGGCATCATATTGTTTGACATAGCCTATTTCTACAATAAACAAACATTACATAAACTTTATCAGTGGTAAAATTAGACCTTAGTCATTTATCTGACGTTTTGAACAAAAAACAAACAATGAGAGACAAGAAAAACTCGAACAAACAAAAAATGACAAAGCTGATGATTTAACTGCCATTATGATTTAGTTCCACTCCGTTCCGACATCTTACTCTACAGTCAGTGTAGTGGGCGTAACTAGCTCAACTTTCTCAGATTAAATCAAAATCAAGGAAATATTCGGGAAAAAACATAACACACTCACCAAGTCAAAAGGGCAACCTTTGGCACTACAGATATATACTCTGGTTCCGTTATAAGCACGAGCGTATCCATAATATTCTTTGTTCCGATGTCGTCCTCTAACTGAACTGATCTAGCGCAGGATGGAATTCGCTTAAAATAGACTTGGATCAGAAGGAACGCGGTGCCTACTACCGCGAGACGCAAATGCATCCTCTGATAAGAACGGAAACACCTGCCTTACAGCCTAGATACATAACAAGACGAGTAGACATGCACGCTAGCAGACGAAATATGACCCCTTCGTCCGTAGTTGACAGGTTCACTGAAAGTTTTAAAACTCTTTAAGCTTAAGTGATGACGGGAGTTTAACATACAAAGTTTATTGTGTAATATACCTTATGGCGAACCATGTTCCCAAAATATCTTTGGCGTGAGTAATGTCGGAACCATGTCAGTGGTGTATTTGGGCCAATATTTCTCAATGAGCCAAGTTGAAATATGATACTGGCATTAACTCTATTATCCTAGCAACTAATGTTATATGTCTATTTGATAAGGGATGTTTTGGGAATATAACAACATAATTGTGTATTCTTTATTCCAAACATTTATAACATAAAAAGAATGATTTAATAATATGCCAGTTCTAATTAATAACTATATATTTACAGATAGTTCCTATTTTAACTACTACAAAACGTTCATATGTAGTTAGTTTTGTAGTAAATAGTTGACGAAAACACGAGGCCCGTTTACGATAACGATTGCAACAAACAAACACATGTGACTATTTAGTGAATGTGCATTAATAGTTCAGCGGTATAATAGGACGTATTAGAGAAGAAATATCATATTTTAAAGTTTCAGCGTACACACGTACAATACAAAATGTCGTAAAATTGCGAACCGAATACGGCTGTGCTCTAAACACACGTTTCTGATTCTCTGTATGATTTAGCAATGGAGCTTTCCTATAAAGAAGGGGTTACTGGCTTGTCATGGTCCAATCTTCGTTGAGGGAAACTCGTTGATATAGTTTTGTTTTACTTTTGGACAATATCAAAATTCCCCCAGGATAGGTCGGGGGAGATGAATTAAGTTCTCCGAAATGTAACCAACAAAACATGAATGGATGAATGAATGAATGAATGAATGAATGAATGAATGAATGAGTAGAAACGACAAATCCATTTCAACATCCATAAGAAATCTCTGCCAAACACATTGTACAATTCTGACGATATCATGAATATGCGTATGTTTGACGCCGCATACACCAGTATTACAGTTGCACGGCGCGGTCTGTAAACAATCGAGTCTGGACCAGACAATCTAATGATTGACAACATGGTAGCTTGTGTTTATGAATAAGAAAGCATGAATGATTGAATGAATAAGTAATCAACAGTAGTATATGAAAATCACAGACAAACGGTGGAACCAGAATTTGGAAAAGATCGCTGATGGTTGGGGAGGGCTCTTCTGGGCCGATTGTTCACGAATATATTCGCGTGAAATGAAACACCACTCATGAAACATGAATAGAATCTTTCACAAAGCAGAATTACAGCAAAGAGTTGTACCAATAGTTCCGCCGCAAGTGTATATGTGTGTGTTACTAATTTCGCAACGAATATTTTTATCATGTTTACAAATGATTTTAATGAATCCTGTCAATTAGTTAGTTATTGGAGACAGAAAAAAAAATCAATCATATATAAAACATTTTATTGCTTTCATCAAAAAGAACAAGATCAGATTTGGCGGCTTGAATGCGCCTGGGGCTGTGTACTACGGTGGCATAATAGGGCCATCTGTTGTTTGTTTTTTTTCTCGAAATTTCAAGTAGTAACTTGTGATTTCAAGATTGTAAGTTGAAATTTCAAGATGTTGATCTTAAAATTTCAAGTTAATAAGTTGAAATGTTAACATACCACTAACCTAAGATCTTGAAAAATACATAGAGATGATATCGTCTCTACGGAAGCCTTTTAGGGCCAGCCGTATTACGGAAGCCTTTTAGGGCCATGCGTTTTTTAATTATTTTCTTGAAATTTCAAGATACTAAGTTGAAATTTCAAGATGAATAAGTTGAAATTTCAAGATTAGTAAGTTGAAATTTCAAGATAATGTGTTTTACCATGCGACATGAAAATATATTTGAAGTTAATTATCTTGAAATTTCAAGACCATGCGAATCATGTGGTAGCTCACCATTTGGGGAATGTCTCTTCGATAGGAAGGATGGCTAGTCCAGGCAGATCTGAAACTACTCGTACAGATGCAGTGAACGTAAGTTTCTCTTTCTAATAAATTTCAATGACAAGATACATGCTAAATACAGGTTTTCCTTTAGCGGTTTTTGACATTAGAATAAGACTGTAGCCTTATCTTCTTTTTGCAGTTAGAGACGTTTTTGCAATTTATTTCCTAAGTACCGGTGCGTATCATAATTTAACAGATATATGTGAGTGTTTAGCCCAGGACGTATAAAGGCGGTATAGAGCTTATTGTCTACGTCCCTTCTAAGCAAACCGGTTTGCGACAAACCCATTTTAAAGCATTTAGGAAACAACTCATCTACCTATGCCAAAATGTGCTTTGTTTTAAATAATACCATCATGACAAATTGTATTTCTCATATCTTGAGCAGGCTTTTTTATGCCGTCCAAGTATGAAATATATTGAACCAATTGAACATATGTGTCGTCTGACATACGTCTAGCAAAATAGAGCCAGACGAGGTGATTGTTATCGCATGGCCGACTTTGGTATCACTCTGGTAACAAAACATTCATGAATACATTCAATAATTAGCCTTGTATGCACAATGAGAAACGACTTCATTGAATCCAATTTGACCCTTACAATTCAGGCTGTTTTCATGGGTCACATAAACTTTCAGTGCTTAATATAAATTGTCTTTTCAGATTGAACAAGCAGAGAGTTTATTTGATCGTCTGCGCATCAAACTGAACCGACCATCGACAAGTGACGACCCAACAGATATAGGTCCACAAAGTCGAAATGCTGTCAAACTGACAAAACAGGTGGAGATTGGGCTTATGAAATTCGACGAAAAGAAAATGATGTATACTCAAGTCCGAACTAAATCAGGAGGTGGTACTCGGAATATATCGGTTCTGAAACAGTCAACTAAGCAAGATCTTCTTGCTCAAGCTAAGAAGATCTTCTTCCCAGAGGGACATTCAATAAAATTTGGACCCGAAACTGATTATGAGTTCAATGTCACGGACTATCAGTTTGTCATTCTGATTGAGGATGTCACTGTTCAGGATATGTCTGATATTACTCGACTGACCAACCTGAGGTTTTATTTGGCGATGAAGAAGGTACAAGATACCACCACCAAAGATCCTGTCCCTGGTCATTGTGTCCAGAGTACCCATTCAAGACCGCAAACTTGGGGAGAAGCTGATCAAGATCAACCAGGACAACAAACGTTGGAACAAGGTCAACAGCATCAGCCACCGTGCTGGAATTCTGAACCTCAGAATCAGGGGGATCAGCAGGATCACCAGGCACAAGCTGCTGGAAACACAGATGATTACAGTGATGATATCGATGAGTTACCAAATATCCTGCCTCTACATGCTGAGGTTGAACCATATTCAGTTGATATTGATCTTCTGGACAACTTCATTGCAGATCTTGAACACCAGACAGCACAAGCCAATGTCAACCACCATACCATACGTATACACAGAGGACATGTCTCCCAGGAACTTAAAGAAAAATTCAAAGAAAAAACTTTCAATCTAAATAAGGATATTTTCGATTTCCAAATGATTTTGCCAAATGGAGAAATGGAGGTTGCCGAAGACAATGGAGGAGTCATGCGAGATGCTTTAGTAGAGTTCCTGGGATTCTTTCTTTGAACAGCGTTGCCTGGGAAGAGCTTGTAAGGTGCCATTTATAAAGCATGATTATGACAGTGATGACTGGCAGGCAATTGCTTCCATTCTCTATTTCGGATGGAAGTGGCAGAACTACTTCCCCGTGAGCAGAGCAAAGTCTTTTATGGCGTTTTGCATTTATGGCATGGATATATTTTCAACAAGAATCCCTTATACCTGAATAGCTTTAAAGTTTCCTTCGTTCCATGTTCAGAGGCTGGCATACTCAAGGCATCCTTGGAAGGGCATTTTGAGGAGGAGGACGTTATTGATGTCCTCAGTGTCCATGAATGTAGAGTTCTGCCCACAAAGGAAACTCTCAAGAGGTTGATTGGCGAGTCAGCACACAAGAAGATGGTTCAGCAGCCAATGTATGTAAAAGGAGCATGGTTCGATAAACTGACTTTGTTGAGGTTCAGTCTTGGAGAAACATCTCTTGATTCACTGTATGACTCCCTCAGGCCAAACAATCGGAAAGTGATGAAGATTCTTTCATTTCCGGACGACATGTCCTTGCAACAGAAAAGTACATCGGAGTTCCTCAGAAAATATGTCCGTGAACTGGAGAAAGATTATCTCTCCCGGTTTCTCAGGTTCTGCACTGGGGCCAACTTATGGTCACCCAAAGCCAATCTACATTCGTTTCACAACACTATCAGGTCTGGCAAGGAGGCCAGTTGCTCACACGTGTGGACAAGTACTTGAGCTACCTGGCCAATACGACAACTTCCTTGACTTCAGGAAGAGTTCAACACGATCCTCGAGAGCGGTGTGTGGGTATGGATTTTGTTTAGGAATCTTTTGTTATAACAAGTTTGACGTTTGGCGTGATATTTCCAAAATCACAGACTTCAATTTAGTTTGATACTTTCATAAGTATATTTGATTTTAGTTTACATTTCATGAGTTGATTCTGCTACAAATGATTAGCAAAACTCAAATATCGACGAGGACAATAAGAAACTCAGGTATTCCTGATTGAAGAAAAGTTTACAATGACGTTTATACTCATTTGTCAGGTTGATACAATAAAGTAGTTTTTTATGACACCCTGTCATGTATTGCTGCCATTTGCATTAATTGTTTGATCTCATTGTTTTGATATCCATACAATGTTAAGTTACAATAAAAATAATGACCAGTTCAAGCACTACTGTGATTATATTTTGTGTATTTTTTCTGTGATGTCTGATTTATTATGTAGGTTGGTACATCTTATCATATCCAATTCCTTGACAAAACCCATGATCTTTGAATACAATGTTCACATTTACACAATATATATTGAACTTAAATGCGATTTGAACTCCTATTTGGATTAGGTATGATGTTCAAAATGTTGTTGCGTAATAATTTCTGAGTCGGTTGTTGATAAGCATGGAATGGTTTGGATTGGAAGGACTTTTCCCAGAGTATCCAATTGGCGGTGTTCCTGGAGGCAAACCTGGATATTCTCCCAAGAGGTTGGGACGTAGCAGGTACGAAACCTATAGCTAAGACACCAAGAACAATGGGGACTTGATCAACTTGCTACTTAGGCTGCAAACATAAGGTTGTGCAAGCGAGGCC